ATATTCCGCCAGAGTTTGATTGTGTGTCATACTTCAAACACCCAGAATGGTTGGTATCTGCGCTCTGAGTGTTGCCGCTTGTACCATTTTGCGTGATGGCGTTGCTACACCAGCTATTAGTGGGACTTAACATAGTATGTAAGTAAGTTCTGCCGTTACTGTCCGTGGACCGTATCGCCTTATCTTTGCTTTTTAGTGTGGTTGTCAGTATCACTTTTGTCTCATTTCTCTGACACCATGGATTCTTCTGTGGATTTGGAAATGTAGGGGATTTTTCGTTATGAGTGGAGTATATCGGTATGTTTTTTTACCGAATTCCATTTTAACCCTCACGTTGCGGCTAAAAGAGGATGTCGTTGACTTACGAGAGGGGCTCGTTTCTGTCTTGGAAATATCCAGAGACATACCAAGATCCGTGGTTTTGGGGCTGATGTAGGAGAAGGCTTATAATTCACTTGCCTTTCGGTTGATGCCGTGTTCTGTGTAGCTAGTTTTTTGAGATTTGAGACGGGGAAGACTATTAGTTCTACCGGGTTGGTTTTTGGTTAAACTCTTTCAGTGACTTGTTGTGTCTTGCCCCTTTTATCATTAGGTTCAGTGAGGTGATTGTAAGCACGCCTTTCAATCACTGCCTTATCTGGAGCTAACGTTTAACCAGTTCACTAAATTTTCTATTCCCAATATTCTCTTTAATAGGTTGTGTTAATGTAAGCAATTTTTGAAACAATTATATTAGAGAGCACACCTTCTAATATTTTACATATATATATAATCGTGTGCGTCGGTGGCACAGCCGTAGAATGCTCACCAACCGCGCATGTGGTCCGGTGTTCAGTCTTCGGCCGACTCGCTCCTTACCTCACTAAGCCATTAATAAAACTGGTAAAGAGGCAATGTTGGGCATGAGGCTAGCAAACCCATTCCGTAAAAATAATTACCACTCCTACCGAAACTTCAGGCCTCCAGCTTGAAGCCATATGTTCCATCGGGAACATAAAGGAATAAAAAATACATATAATCAATAATACACTGCAATTTTTGTGTCGAAATGACTTTATTCAGTCAATAACTACCTTTTCTCATATGCTTCTCCAAAATGTATAATTTTTGAACCTTTCACAGTATTTTTAACATAAGTTGATGGGTTCCTTGCAATGACTGACACATACCATTTGAAAATCAGCCGTGAAAACTTAGCATAACTAGTTCTGTTAACCAGCTGTTTTCTTCAGGATCATTATACATAATTTTATTACTAATTGTTCCACTGCCCATTTAACACCACTAAATAGACTAAAACTTAATTACTGTAATACTAAATACTTCTATAGTTTATGAATTTTTAAGGAAAACTTAATTTCCTAGTCGTTTGCAGCAAACACTTATATACATGTACATGTATAAAGGTGATGTTGCTAAGAATGTCCTCAAGTATCGGGAAGCACTTGACATCAAAGCTGTTTATTTACAGCATACTGTATGATTGCGATGGGTCCAAAGCAATCCATCGCTGCAACTATAGTCATTGCCGAAAATATCTCAGAGCTTGACAACAGAAAGGATGGAGGGTGGCACATGCTGATCAGATGCTATGGTAGTGGCCACAAATGGGAATCGCTACGATCTGTAGGACAGCAACATGCATTTTTTGACAGCTCGAGGTCAAACATTAGTCTGGACCCCTAACAAAAAGGAAAATTAAGGGTCATACAGACCTCAATTATAAAAAATGCTTTGCTCCTGTCATCTGCACGCCTCTTCAGCTTCTTGTCAAGATGCCACCCTATAGGCCCTACAGAATTTCGTTAGACATCTCACAGGTCACACGGGTTCTAGTCCTCAAGATCTTGTAAATGTACTGACAATCATATATTATCCATAGTTGTATTTTATTCCAGTTTGCAGTTTCCCAGGATGTTCTCTTCCTACTGAAATGGCTTTAAATCACGTGACGCCATAGCACTCACTCAAATATACTCTGTCCACTGATTAAGCATAACTATCAGCATGAAATGGAAAGAAGTTTGGGTTGTCGCTCAAATTTGATGGTGAAGATTTAAAATGAAACATTAACAAGAACCTGTTCTGATTGCTTCTACAATAATTGGGCAATTTAAACTTTTGAAAAGGTATTAATTATGATGCTAATTTATGGTACTTGAGGGTTGTGATTTATAACACAACTAATCGTGCCTGTAAAAATGGCATGCATTTTTTATAAACTTACCCGTTCATAAGTAATATAAATTATTGTTAAAAAGTACTAGGTAAAATCGAAAACATTTTACTTTCCTTGTTTTGTACTTTATCATTTTTATTCTTGTTCTGTTGGGTATATACCGTCGCTCTCTTACTCATATATAGCATAATTTTAATGATGATGTTAATATGGCGGTTGAAAGTAGCTTCAGAATAAGCCCCAAAACAACATATTCCGTAGTCTCAGTGGCTTTAGCCAGAGAACGCAATAACCCAAGGTCATCAAATTCATCTCGAATACGGATTCTAAAGTCCCGTACACATCTACTCTGTTCTGATACTACGCCTACATTGCCACAGTCTAGCACTGAAATAGCACATGCAACATCAGGTGGACATGATATTGCACCTGTGACCATTGGAAGCCAGTGTGTGACACATGGCAAAACAAAAAAGAAATGCTCAAGACGTCATAAGACCTCGAAAGCGTCATATAGAAAAAGAGACGAATGCCAGGCCTGTAGTATCGTTGTTTCTAAAACTGATTCAGCATTTGTATGCAACTTTCGCAAACGATAGGTACACTGCTGTTGAGGCAAAGGGGTGCTGAAACCATATTATGAGTTCACGCGAGATAACCCGTGCCCATGGTTCTGGTATATCTGCTCACTTTGTCTCCCTGGCACAGTCTCACACAGCGTGACTGCAGATAGCAAAAACAGCACGCCACTCTTGTATCTAGACACAGTCTCATGCAGCTCTCCACCTGATAACACCACACAACCAAAACCTAGTAAAAACAGTAGGAATGATACTCCTGCCCAACCGACTGGAATTACCAATCTTCATAAAGTGAAGACTCACAAGGTGACACCAAAAACATCAGGAGAATATGGAGTAGCCAAAGTACCACTTGCATCAACTAGTGAGCTTGGCAACATAACAGAGGCTAGTCAGAACCTGATGAAGTCCAAAGTAATTGGCAATGTAAAGAGGGACAAGCAGCCAAAAACCAAACCTAAGTATGTCTAATTCCCTTATCCTGTTAAAGGTACCCGTGTGCAGTGATATTTTGTTTGGACAACAGGCCCAGTTTGATCGGTAACATTGGTTCAATTTGTGCAATAAATTAGGTCTGAACGCCAGTTCAGCGAAATCGTGCAGACTGCACAGAGGTGTCCACACACCTCAGGTTAAGCCACCTCTATTAAGGGTTACTCTGGGTTCTACTGAGGAGGCTGGAAGGATACTATTACCGGCTCAGGTACCAGTTATCGACAGGAGTTCAAGCATAAGAGTGAGACATGATAGGCCATGGGCTAACAGGCGAATGGTGAGGGAGTCACCGGTACTGGTACCTTCTACCTCTATTGTCATACAAGGTGTTCCGGAGCTGGAAACTGACACTGCTTGGGAAAAACACATGTGTGACGTACAGCAATGGAGATGGCTGTAGTCTCGGATGGCCCTTGGTGCTTCGGGAGCAATCTGGATTTTCCGACTACGTCACCACGCTCATCTCACACTGATTAGTTCCCTAAGGCCGCTAAGTGTCAAATTAAACTCCCATGAGCAGTTGACCATAGTACTTCAACGGTGGTACGAGACCGAGGGGAAAATGGGAGGACACATCCGATGCTGCAAAAGCAGACCTCGAACCATAAGGCGTTAATACGTCCCCAAGCCTCAGTGACGCTAGAGCGATGCGGTACTGAGAACAGTCCGTGCCAATCATGTTTACTACCCAAATCCAAGGGAAAAAGGGACAACGGGCCGGTTCCATCGTAATCTGCCGACTAGTCCCAATATCAAGTCCCATACCAGCAGACAACGTGACGTCAACTACCCCACAACACGCTGAGGTTGTGAGACTCACTGTCAGCAACATAAGAGGACTGTGAGGGAAAGCAGGTGAACTCAGAAACCTCCAGTCACGCCCAGACCTCAAAATAATAACCCTTACTGAAACCTGGCTAACCCCCATTATCACCGACAACGAAATCAGTATAAGTGGTGTGGTTCTGGTCTGGAGAGACAAGGATAATAAGGAAGGAGGAGAAGTTGCTATATACTTTGACAGGCAACTTAAATGTGTGTGCGCAAGGGACCCACCATTTATTGAACTCCCAGACTCCATATGGTGTCATTTCACCGTAAGCCACACCAAGCAATTACTGGGTGGCACCTACCTATCACCCACCTTTGCTATATCAAGGCGAACTATCCTGAAATGCAGAGGCTTTAACCCGACGCAGAATAGCCCTTAGAATGAGCGGAGTTATCTGTGGATGAACACTGGGAAGTGGTTAAGGAGATTATTCACACAGAAATCTCGGATACCGTCCGTTTGTTCATAGCGCAGCCGAAGAATATGTCATCATGACTGAAGAGTGGTACGCAATGTATTCTGCAAACAAAGTAGAAGGCTCGGTCTACGTAGCGAAATTCAAGGAGTCAGACCAACCACGATGCACACCTGGAACTCAGGAAAAGGGTCAGGCGGGATAGGAGGTCATTTTAGGCTAACCTTGCCAAAAATCCCTGGTGAACATCAAAAGACTGTACCGATTCATGTCGGAGACGAACTACTCAGAAGTTTACCGAAGACCAGGAACCTTTATCTCAAAATCAAGGAGTCAGCAGAAAGAAATGAAAATGGTTTATACTAGAGCGTAAAAACGATATTGGATATTGGATACTCTCATGAATGTAGCACATAAGACATTGGGTAGCGACAAATAGTTACCCGATAATTTGAATCCTTGGTCATGAACGCTCCCCTTACATTTGTGGGCAGAAAGAGCAAATATTATAGGGACCACTATTATCCTCGTGAAAGTAAGAGATATATTTTGAGTTTACTTATCTAGCTAATCATGCTTTCGAAACACTGCATGATGCCCTTCAAAGTGTGAAACGATCTCAAGATGACAAAACTAAAATTTTACTATCACCGTAATATTATCTTATAATTATATCAAGTTTTAGGAGTGGGAGTTATAGAATATGTGGCAAAATAATGGCTGCAGCCTATTCTCAACTGTGTCCAGAAAAGATGTAAGCAGACGCTTATGTTACATTCAAAATATTGTTTCAGAAAACGTATATTTATTTTCGGAAGACAGACTAATTTTATGCCATATAAATGTGGTCTATCAAATTTCGACCACCTGGAAACCCCTTTAGGCAGAATCATGGTCGACAGAAATGGTAAGAGATTACAGTTTTAACTGAACAAACTTGCTTTGTATTGTAATATTTCCTTGTAATACACCCAACTTTGAGACAGCTTGAAGTTAACTAGCATGAATTAATTAAGCTGTTGCCATATTGTCCCAGAGAATCTCAAAAAAAGTCAATTAAAATAAGATTAGGTTATAATATACTTTGGTACAGTAAGTAAAGATGTGTCACTAACCCCTAAATTCTAATACCGCTAGCCCAAGACACACAGGGAAGTGTGATCCGGAAAATTTCGGACAATACAGATTGGAGAAGCCTGTTGCTGTAATCATAATGGTCAAAATATATTTACACTTTATTTAATTTCTGAAATTTTCTCATTCTGTGTAAGTTATTTCCTTTCAAACATATAAGCTGACAGAAGTGATAAAGCGATTGCGTTTCCGCTTTATTCATACACTGCATTTTAATATGAGAATGTGGGCTTTTCTGATTCTGTGAAAAGTTGTAATTACGTCTATCGCTTATCAGTTTATATTGCAAAGATATATTTGGACACAATTCCTTAATTATCGTCCAATAGATAGGTTGTTGCAGAAACAAATATAGCAGCATAAATACTTCAACCCTCTTAGCAGGTAATAACTACGAATGTACAATTTTCTTAAAACTTTTCAACTTTTTTTCATGTTTGGTCAATTTCTATTTATTTCCTGGCCGTCAGAATAGGCGGGATTATTTTACAAGTAAAATATGACAAGAAGCGGTTAGATACTATACACAATTTAGATTTCTGAATTTTTAGTGTATTACAATAAGAATCTTGACACTCATTAGCTACTGAGCACCACAGACGACAGGTTCTACGTGCTTCCGATTCAGAACAAATATACTGTTTCCTTCTCTACACTATCAAAAAACCAGCTGGCTGTTCCAAAGAATCAGGTGACTCGTAGGCTTTCATTGAAAAATGCGTTACTCAGTAAAAGTAATACATGTGGACATTTAAGCGAAGTATCTTGAGATCCCAGAAAACTCAGGTTACTAAATGTACTAGTAAAATGACCGCTTACTTATCTGTACTAACCCAACAAAGCAATGAAACTGTATCGCAGAAATTTAGATTTTAAAATCTTACCTGGGGTCTCGATTCTCACGTGATTTTGTTGTATACTGATTTTAACGGATCCAAATGGATTCCATTACCTAGTTAAATGTAATAACATTTTTTCACAAAATGCCATATTTCTTCGTTTCTAAAGGAAATTAACAATTTCGCCATTTTCCTCAATTCCTTTCTGAAAACAAACTCACCCATTGTTTCTTATCGTCTTCGTACTTGACTTTCTATATAACCAGATAACGGTCAAACGTTCGTGTATCTATTTTGTTTGTGGTCTTTGGTGAACAAACACCTCACCAACTTAGTGAGCTGCAACAGAACTTCTCCCAGTACAATCATCCTTCAGTAAATATTAAATTCTATTCATTATGCCACAAATAGATCTGTCTGACAAATTATATTGACAATGTATATTTTAAACTGTTGCATGTCACTAACAATTTTAGTTCGGGCGTTCTAGAAGGCTAACCATGGTGCTGGTAATTAACATAAACTCATAAGTAGAAATGAATGATCTTAGAAATTGATTTAGAAATAAAATCTACACAAGAAAAATAAAAGTGAAAATAATGTTGAAACATGTGAAATGCAAACTTCATAAAAAATCATCCTGTGTACTGATTGTTTGAAAAAATAGTTGAATTCGGAAAGTTGTAGTACTTATTTTATTCTCAGGATCTATTTTATGTATGTTACATAATTTGAGTCAAGTTAAAGAAAAGTGATCTAGGAGAACTAACACACCAATGACCAATGACACACAAACAGGGGAAGCTCGTGAAACCGGATGAAAGGCAGTGTATTCATTAAAAATATTGAAAGAAGTGTAAGAATACCAGAGAAGATGTTTGTTTACCTTAGAATTAGGTTAAGTTTAATTATAGGCGACAGGAAGATCAGGGGTTTTTAGGGAAAGATTACGGTTAGGATAAAGTTAGGGACGCGAATTTACTTTGGCCTTTTCAAGATGTTTCATGCCTTCATTCCCTTGGGCCTCTGTTCTTTAGACTTTTCTAACAGATATAGTGTTGTTTACCTCGTCTCACTGTCTTGGTCTGATTGTACGTTTAAAGGTAATTGGTGTGTTTGTTCTCTCAAATAGTTATCCTTTAACTTCACCTTAATTTGCTTAAATTTTCATTTGAAACAAAGGAAAAAACAGATTTTCCGAATTGTTTTCTTTGAACGCATACACAGAGAGTAATTCTTCAGTAGGTCACAAAAGTTTCTAATTGGTAGTTATGCCAGTTTATGCAACTTTGGTTAAGAATGAGCCGATTTTTCAACACAGTTGTAGAAGATTTAAGTGCCTAATCGTGTTTATGGTCCACGATTCGACCCTTAGAGTCAGCGCATAGGTAGCGATTCACATTCACATCAATAGAACAGAATTTTGAGTCATAATCCATTGGATGGATTTCTACTTTAAAGATTAACTAGTCATGGATGCAGTAAAATAAATCAAGAATAAAATATAAAATGATTTTCAAAACTAAGTGTAATCTAATTACAACAGAAATGGTTTTATTTAATTATTTCATGTTTTCTTCTTTCTTTCCTTGTAGTAAATCAGAAACTGCTAAAAAGTGATGATTTCAGACTACTTGAATCAAACAACGATCATAAAGAACAGTTTATTGAAATGCAGTTACCGTTTATAGCAAAAATAATGGAAAAGTAAAAAATATCGTATATAATATACTTTGTTTAAGTTAATTTTGTATTTCCCTTTTGATTGATTATATTGGGCTGAAATGTCCCATCCATCTCGACATGTCGGCTTCCAGTACGGACGCACCAACAATGTCTGCGGATTAACATAGTTTACAGTTTACAATTTATTTAGGATGGTAGGTTATACGCCTGTGTTAATCCTTTCGATTTGTTGCACACAGGAGGTCCAATCTCGCCTTGAATGAATCAACGGATGGCGCTGATACGACGTGTTCCGGTAGGGAGTTCCAATGGTTCACAATTCGATGCGAAAAACGGATCTCCAGACGCGGACGATTCGACCGTGGTTTTTGAACCTTGAGGTGATGTCCTCGCAATTGGTTGGTGTTAGAAGGAAGAAATAATCTAGATAAATTAGCTCCAAAATCACTTCTTAGAATACGGTATGCTAGTATTAGGTCACCCCTAAGTCGTCTGTATGACAGTGGAAATAAACCCAGTCGACTTAACCTCTCCTCATATTAGAGGGTTGAGAAACCCTTTATTAGCTTAGTTCCTACTCTTTGCACCCTTTCTAATAAGTCTGTTTCGTATTTGAAACACGGGCTCGCTGCCTGGATCCCATATTCCAAATGAGGTCTGATATAAGTCGGATATAATATACGAAATATATCAGCGTCAAAGTTCACAAAAGCCTTGCGTATGGCCCATAATATTCGAAAACCCTTAGTGGCTGCAGCTCTACAGTTTGTTGCTGTTTTCAAGTCATGCTGCACAATCACTCCCAAGTCCTTGTAATCAGTGACCACTGGGAGAGTAATGCCATTCATTGAGTAATTGTACACGTGACTATGAGATGCATGCATAACTACACTCCCGCCTAAGTTAATCTCCAAGGTCCAGTGCTTACACCAATCACTTAACAAGTTTAAATCTTCATGCAAAGCAAGTTGATCACTGTCATCGTGTAAAGCCCTCCATATCTTGATGTCATCAGCAAACAGTAAGCAGGATGACTTAACTACCGATGGAATCTCATTAACATAAATAAGGAAAAGAAATGGGCCTAGAATTCTACCCTGAGGAACGCCACTCTTAACCGATTCCCAAGTTAATAAAACCCCGTTAACTCGTACTCCTTGTCTTCTGTCCTTTAGAAATTCTTGAATCCGGTCGGCAACCACTTTATTGATTCCCAGACTACCTAACTTTACTAGAAGACCTGAATAAGAAACCCTGTCAAACGCCTTGCTAAGGTCGATGAATATGGCATCCACCGGTATATTAGCATCAGCTGAGCTTGCCCAACTTTCTCTGGCCAAAAGAAGGTTGGTCAAGCAAGAATGACCTGCTCTAAAACCATGCTGTTCCACAGCGAAAAGTTTGTTCCCTTCAATAGCATCAGGAATTATGCTTTCTAGTAGTTTAACAACAATACTGGTCAAACTAACAGGACGATAGTTCTGAACTAAGTTTCTAGATCCGGTTTTGAAGACCGGACTAATGATGGTATCTTTCCAGTCTCTTGGACATTTAGACTGGTCCAGAAACATAGTGTTGTTTCTGATGGATGGTGATTAGTGGTGGGATTCAGAGTGCACACTTCTACTTATTCGCGACACATCCAGATGATAAGCTCCGAATAGGAAGAAATACTCAGCCTGGACTCCATGGCGAGTCACCATCTACTAAAATATTGTCTCTTTTACTTTGTTTAAACAAATACTTTCTTACATATTTTTATATTGCAGTCGAAAGTATCTATACACAGTTATACCAGTCTATATTGGTGCATTATCGCATGAACAACAAAGATATATAGCGAAGCATTTTTTACCCTATCTAAATGATCCATCCAATGTATTTATCTTTTCTGTTAGTCTTATTCATTGGGGTGAGTTAAAAAAAGCATCTACAACATTTTAATGTTTGCATTATATCCACCTTATGTTTCTTCGTTAATCTGTAAAAAAAAGGCAGAAGAAAATAAGCTACACATTGAAGCGAATTCAGCTTATACTACAGTCTGTTTTCAGTCACGAGAAGTTTTAAATCAGTGTACAATTGAGATAAAAGGTAGAATATTTAGCCTAGTTATTTATATTTGCTGAGGGACAATAAACCTGTGTAATAGAAGGAGGTTGAGTAGAACTGTTAAACAATGGAATAAATTTCTTTTATATTTTTAAATCTGATATGATTTGATGAAAATATTTTATTTAATAATGTATTAACTCATGTATTCTAATCAATCTTCTCTGGATTTCTCAAAAAGATGACTACCATTATAAGCAGAGTCAGTGATGTGCCTTTTACCCCAGTTAACTGACACTGTTGTCGACCAGTATTTTATTTCTTGCAGGAAATTTGCTAAGGTCATGTTGAAGGATGCTGAACATCCAGAGTTTCTTATTGCTAATTCTTTAGAGCCATTTGATCTTCAGTATGGAGCCAGAGAAGGCATCCGTTGGTAAACATACGCAGCAGTGTGTCGGACATGCTTTCTGTGACGCGCTAGTCAAGTTTCCGACCCACATTGAAGAACCAAATTAAAATTGGTATTGCGAAAAACAAATATTAAGTTATTTTGGGACACTATTACTCTCATGGATTACGAGTGAAACATAGAGCTTCACCAGCACATCTCCAGTTCATGCTGTTCTCTACAGTCATCTTTATCTAACGCCAGTATCACCCAAAAGCTTTTATTCCCTCATCCGATGATCTCCTCCATGTCACTGTCAGACCCTAGCCCAGTGTGTCATTTTGCATTTGAGTTCTGCTCTCCAGCCTAGCGCATAAACCTAATCCATGTCTGTTTCCTTCGGAATTTTGTTGAGCTATAAGGTTGTGGGTTGGTTTAATGTTAGAGTCCCTAGTTGCTGATCCTTTCAGATTTTCTGAAAGGGGAGAAGGAAGTACCTGCTGATGAAAGTTTTCAGCAGGCTACTGGGATATTTCTGGTGAAATGCTGAGTCTGGGAACCACACAGTAGCAGTGAATTGACATTATAGTCCTATTGCTTTTGGTGAATCCATTGGATTTCCACATTTCTTGTTATATATAATTTGACTAGTTATTTTGCGTGAACTTTACTAAAATAAAAATAATGTATTTTTTAAAATTATTTTTATTGATATATATGTTAATTTAAACAGGTGAAATATACGGCATGAATACAATTCATCCTGAGACGACTACAGTTTTAGAGACAATTAAAAAACTCGATGATTTAGCCATCACTGCATTATCTTCATTACGGTTTAAATCATTTGATGAATTTCTATTGGATACAAAATCATGCGTTTATGACTATCAAGTGTATAATATATTCTTATGGATGATGCAACAATTTCTTGATGAAGATTTATACTACCTAAGGAATTTAGATGAAGAGAAAGCTAAGAAAGCAATGAGAAAGACAGCTAGTTTTTGCTTACAAGGACAAACATGGTCATTTCCATCTGTAACAAAAGATGATAGTTGTATATCATTTATTTCAGCAAGTATAATATTTGATGAAGAAAAGTATATTCCAGATGAACCTTTACCATTGAATCCTTTGGATAAATGTGTTTAAAAGTTGTTGACGTAAAGTCCGCTTTTTCAAATCTTTATCATTTTTTTTAACAAATCCAAATCACTTTCGTTTTGTATATATAAAACAATAATTCATATGATCAGACAGAGATCATTAAATATTGTTCCTTTCTTTTCCAAATATTTTTTTTTGGTTTAAATAAATGCTAACTAATAAGTTGTGTAGTTCTCCATGACTCGTGAGGGAATCGTGAGTATTTATCTGTTGAAATGTGACCCCTATTGAACAGTATCCTTCTCATTATCATACGTTTATTATTACTATTATTATTCCCAAGGATTTCGAGTGGTAAATAGGGCTTCCACCGTCATTTTCCAGCATATTTGTTAGGCACAAGGTTTTTGATTGGTTCTTTCCTAGAATTTCTTGTTGCTTATTATTTCCCGCAGGCCATCAGATCTTCAGGATACAGCCAGCTATAGCAGCTGTTGATAAAAGTTTGAAACCTGTTGAAATGAATGTGATGAATGAGAATGTGATGAGTGCCTAGCTTCTGAACCATATAGAAGCAGTGACTGACTTAACATTGGTGTTGAAAATACGAATTTCGTTCTTTGTGCTGAGTGCAACAGATTTTCAAACTGATTTCGGAGTGACGAAGGTCTGTCTTTCCTTCCCATTTCTGATTTTGACTTCGTCATCGGTTATGTCCTTAGATGAAACGATGCTGCCTAGATAAATGAAATAAGTGGTAGTAATTGTTGCTAGTTGTTGTTGTTGCGGGTTGGTTATCTTCGTCACCTCTGCCTTCTCTACGTTCACTGAAAGTCCTGTCTTAGCTGCTGCTTCTTCTTCCAGTTTTTCAGTTTTCGCCTGCAAGTCTTCGAATTCATATGACATCAGACATAAATTTTCCATGAAGTCCAGATCTTCTAGAATCTTCCTATCAGTCCGACGTATTCCTGCTTTCTTACTCCAAACTGCCTGTTGAATAATCCGGTCCACTACAATCAAGAATATCCCCGATGATAGTAGGCAGTCTTGTCTTACTCCTGTCTTCATTTCAAATGCCTCGCTGAGTTTTCCGCTGTAGATTGCTTAACATTCTATGTCTAGTGCTGTGGTATTGTCACTTTAAAGCTAGTTAACCATAATGCACAGAGTGGCATTTTCATCTTATTTTGAACTCCATAGCTGCATAATGTTATTGGTTCTAAATTATATTTTAGCCTATCAAACATAAGTTCAAATATCAGTGTTATTAGGTATGAAGTCACATTCTACTACTTCTAGTTACAACAAGTTTTTTTTGTAATTGAATATATAAGGTTCACCTACACTAATTACGAAGAGTATAAGTTCACTAGATGAAAAAGAAGAAGAAGAATTTTTACACTTGGTATCACTATCACAAAAGAATTCTTTGTATGGTCTTCAAATGATCACAGAAAGCAACATCTTTCACAGTTACATCAGAATTCATACGAATTAAGTGATATACGGAGTTTACGGCTATTTGTAAAGTTTCAAATCTATGAAGAACTTAGGATCTTTGCAATCTTTTTAGGAAAAAACACTTCAATGACCAAAGTCAAACCATACGTAGCAGTATCACTTTGAATAAGGAGTAGTGGTGTTTATTTATTACGGCGTGGGGTTGTTAGCCTCATGCCCAATTTCCCAGCTTTATATGGCTTACTACTGGCTAAGTTAGGTTAAGGAGTGCGTCGGCCGGAGATACAATACTGGACCACGTGAGTGGTTGGCGAGTACTGTGCCACTGTGTATGTTGCATACACAGTGAAAGTTTCACATTCTTAGTGATTGTATATAGCATGTAGTATGACAATGTTTTCCTTTGTTATAAGCATCTATTTATTGAGTGATCGCCTTCACGGCAAGATTCCGCTCTTTTCACTTCAGTCTGAGTAACTAGTTTCATAAGTCTATTATTATTATACTTATCATTATTATTCCTCCGGGTTCCAAGTAGAACACAGGGATTCAACAGTACATATTCATCTTGTTATACTCTCTGTAGTCCTCTTTAGGTGGTCCCAAGATGGCCCATAGGCCGTCTTCTCCTCCTCACACGACCTCTTTGATGTCGCAATCGGATGCCGAACTCGTCATTTCCCATTCGGGTTCCACTCGGGCAGTGGCCTGGTACACGATATCATTCAACGTTCTCAACATGTGTCCGATCCATTTCCATCTTCTTATACATATGTTTTTGGCAATAAGTTCTTGATTGGCTTGTCCCCACTGTTTCTTGTCGCTAATTCTTTCTAGCCAGTCATTTGATCTTCACTCTGGATCCGGCGAAGGCAGCTATTGATATAAGACTGCAACTCGTTAGAAATGCTTTTCATAAGCCTACACAAGACAAATTTATCTCACAGATTAGAATACAAGTCTTTAACTTGAAATAAAGTGTGTTATTACACACATATGGTCAAAAGTTAATAGCACACTTGATACTCACAGGCAAAGGGTAAAGTGAACACAAATAAAATGATCAAAATATATAAACGAAGTGAGTGTTATAGAAATCAACTTATGCATACTGATTATTATTATTCTTCAGCTAATTGTTTAGATGTCTTTAAAGCGACAAAAGTTCAGTAAAACTGTCTGAAAACAGTAAGTGGTTCAACCAGAGTATATTCACTAGACTTCATTCATTATAGGGTACAATCTCAATTGTCTACTAAATTCGGTATGCAGTGTTTTCAGTATTATGATTCTCACCATATGTTTCCAATAATGGAGACTGCACATATAAAAACTTAATTAATGCAGTTTTTGAAATCAGTCTCTCTCAACTATTTGTTTCGTCTTTACACTTAAGATTCTTTGACAAATGAAAAGATGATCATCCATTTCTGAGGAATTCGAAATGATTTTCTAAAAGTTATACAAACCATGAGAATAATAAATCTTTAATAAGAAGCAGATATGATAGTTACAATACATAGAATAGCAAAATAAAATCAGTAAGATACTATTCCGACTAATGATACAATTTTGTAAATTCAAAGTTGTGTACACTGATGTAAGTAATGTGAACTGATTAAAAATCAATCCATTGATTATTATTATTATTCATTACTATGTCCTTTAATTCCTAGAGGAACATAGGGCTTCAGCCAGCCGTCTCCACTGCGTTCGGTTCTACGCCAACGTTTTCACCTGACTCCACGTCTGCCCCACATGCTTTCATCTCCTTTCCGCATGGCCTCCTCCATGTCACCCTAACACTGACGACCAACTCACCACTTCCTATTTAGGTTCCACTCGAGCGATAGGCTGGCGCGTGATGTCACTTGATGGTCTTCTCAGAGTATGGCCAATCCACCTCCATTCCTTCTTGCATGTTTGTTGCACAATCGGTTCCTGCTAAGTTGGTTCACTCATTGCCAGAGATCCCTGGTGCTGATCTTTTCTGGCTAACCATCTGATCTTGAGTACTGAGTGAAGACAGCTATTGATGAAGGTCTTTAGTTTGTTCTAATAGCCCTTTATGACGCAGCGTTAAGTCTCTGGTCTGTATTTTAAATAGCATTGACTTCACATTGGAGTTAGAAATCCGATTCTGAGCGCTGTTGACCTCCACACAGACTTCAGAGAAATGAAAGCCTGCCTTGCTTTTCCGATCCTCGTTTTGATATCCTCATCAGTTCCATCGACCTGTGGTTGAAACGGTGCTTCGCAGGGAGGTAAAGGAGGTTGTTTCTTTCATATTTCTCGGATTTATGTTGATTGTTGTTTATTGTTGTTATTGTTGGCCAGGAATCTTCACCACCTCCGCTTTCTCTATGTTCTCCTGAAGTCCTATCTTCACTGGATGATTCTTCTGCCAACTTGTTGATTTTCATTTGCATATCTTCTTTCAGTCATGATAACCTTCTTTTACTTAATATTTTACCTATTTACTCCGTATCTTTCTTTACTCAGTATCTTTCTGTAATAAGCTTCGAACCACACCACAGAACATTTATCACTTCAAAGACATCCAGACAATCAGATGAAGAAGGAGAATCAGAAATATGAATAAGCTTAGTTCTATATCAGTTACTTTCATTTATTTACCTTATAATCGTAGATATGTCCACCTTTTCAATGTGCTTTGAAGTTTCTATTAACCCCGAATGAAATATTGAAACGCATCGTACCAGAACAACATGATCTGGATGCTAAACTCCGTCCCAAACAAGCTGGATTCATGAGACGCAGATTAAATCGATACTTTACACATTTTCATCAAACAGAGAATGGAATAACATCCAACTGTCTACCCTAACTTCATCGAATTTTAAAAGGATTTAGATGTCGTCAAGCGCTAAGTCATCAGTGAACTACACTAAATTTTTATTAACTTCACTCAACAACTGAATATGTCACCTGCAGCGCGATCACAACAGAAGGCTCAGCAACGCATCTCAAGTGAAGACCAGAATAAGAAAAAGATCCTTACTGCCACCGATAATATTCCTGATCGCGGTCAACTGGATTGTGCGACAGACAGTGAGAATTTAGGAGACAAGGATACGTTGAACCAACAGGAAGACTAAAAGATTTGCACTCCCCAGACGATTTATATCAAGTGTCATATAGACTCGAAGATGTACAGCCGAAAACCAACAAGTTAGTAGAAGAGGCAGTCAGTGAGAACAGGATTTCAATTGAACAAAAAGAAGATGGATTCTATGAAAATGACCAACTAAATATGACAAAATTAAGCACCAATCGCTATAAACGGGTGAGATTTGTATGAAGTCACCTATTCAGGTGGCGTCCTTTCAACTGCATGCTACAACAATCAGGATTTCAAAGGCAGGGTTCGAAGATCAAGAAAGACCTTCGTTAATGTGACATCAGAGTAGATATCTACCTCACTCCAGAAAAGAAACAATATCTGGATCTTCAGCACTAATTTCAAGTCAGTGAATCTATACGATTTTGAGACTTGATACGTTGTGAAAAGCATCTCCAAAAGGCTATGAAAACTTTTATCAACACGTGCACTTACTGGCTCCATACTAAAGATCAGATTGACAGAAACAATCCATAACACGAAACTCTGCCAACGAACCAACAAAGAACCTGTCGCCCAAAAAATATGTAGAAGGAAATGGAGATGGACTGAATGCACACTAAATTGGCTACCGCATAACATCACGCGCCAGCTCCTGAAGTGGAACTCGAACGGGAAACCACAAGTTCGAGGGTGAAATGGTGGAGACTGTGCCAGCGGAAGCCAGCTTAAAATGACTTTGGAGAGAACAGTGAAATGTAGATGTCCTGATGAAGCTGTATTTTCTGTTCGAAACCCATAGGATTAATAAATAACTAAATAATCGACAGTAAACTATCTGGACGCTGAGTACACATAACAAATGTTTTATTAGAAACGTGATCATGAAACGTTTATAGTTTTAAAGCTTTCCTTTATTCCTGTAAACGTTATCATCACTCTGTCTTTGTTAGTAAAGCAAAACAACGACAAGCATTACACGAAAATGATGTAATTCAAATAAAATGATTAAAACCAAATGCAGTTTGGGGAAAAATGTCTCGCAGATTTAAATGAAAGTTATTTTTATCTTTTTCAAGAAAGGAGTTTCCGTTTTATTTTAAATAAAGTAGTAAGTAAAATTAAAATCAAACATTCAAGCCGTTTTCTCTTTTTTGGAGAAAAAACTTCCAAACAGTTGAATGTATTCTGTATGACAATAGAAAGAACAGGTGAGAAAGATTATCACGACTCAGTCGTTGACACATATTTGTATAGAAATGGAGATGATTATACGTGTAAATATATATATGCATAAATAGAAGGAGAGAACGAGTCCATGGTTTCATTTGTTACGTAAGTAAACTACGGAGTTGATTGTCTATTTCATCTTCAACTTCTGAGTAGTTTATCTGTGAGATCAGAAAGAGAAATATAAAAACATAATCTTCAATATATCATAGATTATGTATAAAGTAGTATACTTGTAACGGGAGAAGATGAGAGATTTGGCTAGGTCAAAGGAGAAAAAAGTATTCTGATTGGTCGGCTATTGGATTAAGGTTGAATTAGTTGTCCAATGAGGTTATTTCATTTCCACAGTGTAAACTAAATGCAGACTTGATGGATAAACACTTCTGTCTCTGCAGCTATCGACTTAAAATGTTGGTATCAGTTTTGGCGGCTTCTTATCAATCTGCATTACGCTACACACTAAGAAATACTGGTACAAAGAAGTGACTGCTATCTACTCGTTTGTTGTTTTATACATAAAGTCACCTTGTTTCCATTCATAACTCTAAGAATATCAAACATAAAGTTTTGAATCCTATCGGTTTTTATGAGAGCAAAATGTTTGAAAATAGGTTATCTATGAATTGAAAGATGATACTGCAAGATTCCTCTGTGTATCCGAATTCCAAAAATTTATTTCTTGATATGAATTTAAAACAAGTAACAAAAGTTAATAAAGTAGGATTTAATGAATTCATTAAATTTCGGTGGAACTCTTCAACTGGATACTCTACGTACAGCTATATGAAAATAAGGTAAAATGCATTACGGTTCATTTTCATCACTTAAATAAGCAATTATTTATCAGTGAGTGAAAGAACTTCACTTAGCTTGGAGGTTGTTTTGGCTATAAAAGAAAGGTTTTTTTACTGACAAAATTACAGAAGCCCATCATGGATTTGTCAAATTTTTATCTAGAGTGGTGCAGACATGATTTCCAGATACTAATCAAAAGGGTGAATGTACTGCACAGGAATTACTGCTGTCTTAATGGCATTGACGAAAGAAGGCTCAATGAACCTTGAAGTTATGAAAAGACTGAGGAGTCTTTGATTACAAATGCCCTTCTCGTGTTAGGTGAAGCAGTACCATTGTTGTGAAAAGATCAATTAGGCTAGATGACTAGGATACCTATTAAACATGCCAAACTACTGGCTTTCTTGACAAAAATACTAGCTAAGGTATAATTAATTTCTAAAAAAACTTAACGGTGTTCAGACCCAAAAATGACATCAGTTGATGCGCTTATTCACTACTGGTCTAAACCAATATAAGAAGGAATAGATTTCCTGGTTAGGGTACTAAAATTCTCGAAAAATCAATGGTTGAAGGCTCTTTGTGACAAGGTGCACAATAATCCATAATGTTGCCGATATGCATACGCTACTTGTCGCCTTCCAAATCCTCAGTATTTTTATCAACTTTCATTTCGTCCTCCCATCGCTGACACTTTTGTCTGGTGTTCTTCCTTTTACAATGCTTTCTAACAGTGATTTCCTCAGATGTGGAAGTTTGGAATGGTGCGCTCCTGTGCATATGTCTCTCATGTTTAAGTTTATCAAACAGTAAAAAATATACTGCGAGATCGATTTAGGCATTTAACGTTTTAAATGACATTACTTCACCTAAGTATAGAAAGTTATCAGTAACAAAAATGGGGAAGTATATGAAAATGAGAAAAAGCAAACAGATATTGATGCAAGAAACAAAACATATGCAACAATAAGCATTAGATAAATAGTTGAAAAGTGGATAGGTATTTTAGACCTTGATAGTCATATCGGCGGTTTTACAAACTATTCATGAATAATCCTCATCCAGACATTAGTGAAAACAAAACACGTAGTTCAGAGAAGAGGCCTCTTTCGGCGAATTCATCTTCTTTAGCTGTAAAATCGAATTTACAAGTAATTTTTCATGAAAGAGGGAAGTAACAAAAGTAATCAGTTGTCAGGATCATGTTTGGTAATATTATTCAATGCATAAGAAGAGTTGAACATGTGTTTTAGAGATGCGTAATAAAATGGATAATTTAATGACTGAGTTGTGATCGGGATGCGTATAGAAACGATGGGAAAGTGGAATTATGTAAGAGTTCTCGAAAAATGAAAGAATTAGAAGGAATAAGAAGAACAAACAATGAAAAAATCTAGTTAGCAGAAATCAACAGGTTTGCTATCATGATAGTACGTAGAGCTCCAGTTTCTCCAAACAAACGGTTAGGGCTTCATCAATGTAAAGGAGAAAGAAGAAGGCCTATTGTCTTTGCCAGGTTATACTTCACTTTGTAGATTACTTTGAAGGAGGCATTTGTTGAGATGAAGTGGTCAGTGTTGAGCCACTACGGTCTTTCTGCAACCATACTCAGTGGCCTCCTCAGTGTGTGTCCGACTCGTCTCCATTTTCTTCAGAATATTTGTTGAGCGATAGTTTCTTGACTGATTCGTTCCAAAAGTTTCTTGTTGTTTTTCTATCCTGGCTGGCTACTTGACATTCATTATGGAGCCAGCGAAGGCAGCTGTTGATAAAAGTTTGCAGCAGGCTGTCGAAAATGCAGTCAATTTTCTGACCCGTATAGAAGAACTGACCTAAGACTGTTGTTGAAAGTCTGAATCTTTTTCTCTACGCTAATTATAGAGTGACAAAGGTCTGTGTTGCCATTCCGCTAGTGAGTGGCTTTGACATCCTCACCCAAGCTGTCACTTGTTGTAGAAATGATAGTCTGTGGCGCTTGATGGTGTTGCTTGATTGCCTTCTTCACCTTCAACTTCTCTATCTCTGCGTAAAGTTCTGTCTTTGCTGTCACTTCTGACAACTTGCTGATTTTCGCCTGTAAGTCTTCGAATTTATATTACATTAGGCAGCTATGCCATCATGTAATAATAATTAAAAGATTGGAAATCTGTATTGAAAAGCTAAGTAGTCCTACAAAGAACTAAATATGAATATGAGATTTTCTATGGAATGGTATGTACTTGCATATCCTGTAAGAAAGAAATAGTTATTACACTCATAGAGAATTCCAAGACCTCATTTCATCTTAAAGTTAGTGTTGAAGATGTTGTTTATGACGATAATGATGACTCTATAATTCAAATGTTCAGTTCGGAAGACATAAATAAAGCAAAACACTCTATGGAGTATAATTCATTAAAAAATATATAAGGCTAGGCACAGAACATACAAGACACATAATCGTAGTTGAGATACTAATAACTTAAAATGTAAGTAGTTGATTGAATAAGGAATAAATTCTTGCGAAACCGTATACCACATACATACTCAGATTAACCTTAAAACCACTTGCTTCATTTCGCATGCGCTTTCCTGATATTTGTTTATACAGAACCATATTTTAAACAAAACTAATGGCGATATAGATTATTTCACAAACCACTATCGGTCAAGGAACCGATGGAAACGTAGAAGCTATGTTGTCCTAGTTGTGAACTTTTTAGTAGCCCATATCTATGACCCCACTAAGGATTGAAACTAGGACCTTCAAGTTACAAGGCCAGGCCACTGACCATTTAACCACTGGGTTCAAATTCATTAACCTGTGAATTATAACTGGCGACAACTGGCGACACCTCGGTTCCACCAACTAGTATCATTAACCCTTAGTGGGGTCATCGACGAAAACTGTGAAGAGTCCCGAATTAGGACAAAACACCTGTCTAGTTCTTCTTGGATTTCAGTGATTCCTTAACTGATATCAGCTCGTAACGTTACCTGTACTAAGATTAATCCAATTCTCTACAAAACCCTAGATTTAAAAATTAATATTGTTAATAACAAAAATAAAAATGCAATTTAAAACTACTAAAATTAATAATATCTAAAAAGTTAATTATATTACAAATGGACAGACAAATAAAAATATAAGTGAATGATAGATAATCTATGTGAATTATTTTTAATAATCTTTCTAAAATACATAGACTTCTATATTGTATTATATTATCACGAATACAAGAGTCTTTTATTTAGATCCAAGTTCAGAATACTGTTCAGCTGCTATAGTGATACAAAAATAAATGAATAAACAAAGACGAATTATTCTTTGAAACAAAAATGGAAAAAAAACGTTTTCTTCCTTTTCAATTTTTACACTGTTACACCCATTTGATTTAAATGAAAGTAATAATAGGAAAACGGGTAGTGGAAATAAAGGATAACAAAGAATATGAAAGTTGAGTTCATTTCAGTGAATATATGTGGTGTATATTTAGTCTTATGCGCCTAGAAATACGTCCAATCTCTATTTCCAGGATGATGATGATAATATTCTCACGATCTTTTGTATACTTTTTTAAGATTAATCAATATTTAGATTATCGGTTTTTTGCTGGGATTCGGATGAACTTCAATATAGATTTCGTTACGAATCAATATTATATGAAGATCATTGAAAACCAGGAAACATTGAACAGTTGTTTCGTCCAATCTTTGGACTCTTCACAGTGTGCACCTACAATTTTGCGAGGGATTGAAACCGGAACCTCTAGGTTATAAGACCAAGCTCGTTGAACATTCAGCCACTGGGGTCAAAATTCAGTTGCCTGTGAATTATAATTCATTTCGTCATATAGCGCTACGCCCAAACGACGCTTCGGATTAGGGTATACTTCACCTTGACATGGGTGACATTAGTAGTTACAACTTGTAAGTAAAGCTGCAAGACTTCTACCCGGGAACCATTAATGAGGTGGAGATTGCTGTGTAGATTATCAGTTCTTTTTGCAGATTTTGTCAAGTACTAACATCAACATTTTCATTTTCATCCTCTTCAAGTTATTTATCCATTTAAAAGTGTATTGTATAATTTTCTATAGTTTGGTTTGTAAGGGTTAGTTTTGTTTCTACGAGTTGATCACGGATTGATATCAGTTGGAGAACCATTAAAAAACAAATAGGGAGTACTGGACAGCTGTTTCCTCCTAGTTTGGGAATCATCGGCAGTACGCACCCACTGGAGTTTGAACCCAGGACCTTCCGGTTACAAGGGAGGCTCGTATACTATTCAGCCACTGGGACCCGATTCAGTGGCTCATGAATTCTAACTTCTATCCATTCGTGAATTAGCGCGACCCCAACCATTGTCGTAGGTGGGATATCCATATACGAGCTTGCCTTGTAACCGGAAGGTCCTGGGTTCAAACCCCATTAGGTGCGTACTGCCGATGATTTCCAAACTAGGATGAAACAGCTGTCCAGTACTCCCAACTTGTTTTCAGTGGTTCTCTAGCTGATATCAATCCATGATCAACTATTGTATAATGTTTCTTTTAGGTAGAAATGACTGACTATTCCGATTGCGAATACTTGCTGTTGGTATGATGCCCTGTTAGTAAAGGCTCGAACTATGAGATGTTCTCACACAAAAATATGACCTACTGACAAGTGTAATAACATGCATGTGGCTATACAGGGACTCAGTGTTGTGTCTCATTTGATTTTATTTATATATTCTACTTCATTTTTAGCAGTTGTCAACAAAAGTAACCTGACTTAGTGAAAAGTTATCATCAAAATGAAAATAGATTTCATTGAAATTACATGTTAATTTTTTATGACTCAATTCATCTTATTAAGTGCTCGTTAAGCTGTATCGATGAAATGGAATATAAACAAATAAATCTACCGAAAATTATAGTTAAGGAGACTATTTACTATTGTCATTATAAAAGTGACATACACACGTTCACTTGCGTCTACAATAGCTAGAATTTCATTCCAGACTCTTTACTGAACAACTGTAATAAGACGGTTGAAGGTAATCGACAGGAAGCCTTGTATATGGCTTTTGAATTTGTTGGCACTCATCAATACTGAATATTTGCAGTCTTGAAAGAACTCATGTCCCTTGTGAAATTAGAATGTTTATCACTCACTGCTGCATTCAGAGGTTATACCCCTGAGCTATTGGGTTCACGAATAACTAGATGTAGAACAGAGTGACACGGGTTAGCATTTCTAGATTGCAGATACACATTACAGACTAGTGTCAACAAGAACGAGACCTAGGACAGTGGCTTCCTTCTAATTACCTTCAACCATCTAAATACAGCAATTCAGAGTGCTGTGTGATGGCCAGCCATCTAGTATGGTTGCCACATTTCGAAATTTGACTGACAGAAGACAGTCTACACCGAAGAAAGGACCAGACACATGAAACTTACTGTCTGGTGTCCAATAAAAGCTACTGAACAACCTTACGTGAGGAAGCGTTTCTGCTTGCTGGATAAAACATTTTTCTCTCTTTTGATTAAAAGATATTTGCAAACATTTCGAACACAAACTTAAAATACAAAATGTAGTGACATTGATTAACATTACTGCGTGCTTTAGGTTATTTAACTGAATAAGTGAAGTTGTTTGGAAACACAAGGTAGACTAACAAGTCAGGTTGGTATGTTCCCAAACAAGTGCCTCTTACCTCTAAAAGGACTCCAGTTGGTCAGTTTCAGCTTTCATACCTACCTTAGAACAGTAGTCACAGACTTTATAGATGAATACTATTGTTTTATTCTAAACACGCATTCTGTTTTTCTGAATATACTTCCAACCTCACTTATGTTTACCCTTCTACAAAGATCATCGTTCGTCGTCAGCAACAAATATACTAACCAACTACGTCAGTCAATTTTCACAGACTTAAAGAATAATTTCCCTGTCTTAACTATCATCCTATGTCAAATTACAAGATTACAACTTGTCGGCGTTTCCACTAGATAAAGCTGATTCTTATAAACCTCTTAAGTAAAGAAAGTTACATCGTCATCCATCTAGAGAAATCCCATATGAGACGGATAGTTTACCAGTTTCTAAAGTTGTGTCCCTCTAAGCAAAAAAGAAACCTCGTATACTCTCTATCTTCAAAGATTCGGAATTACGTACTGAAGAATCTATCGACGGAAAACTTTAAATTTGGGTGAAAAACCACTTTTTCAAAGATTTTGTAGGTAAGAACTTATAAAAAAAGAAAGATCTTGAATAGGTTCAGGTCACCCCCGAAGAGATTTTGCTTCTTGGTTTCGTATTTAGAAGTGATACTGAGGCAGAAATTCTCCGAAAACAGCTTTCGAAACCTCTCACTAAAACATAAACCACCGCCAACCTACGAGCAACATTTTTTTGCAAGAAAATATTTGGTTAGGATGAAAAAGACAGGTTGTTCAAATGAACCACATCAATATGCACATACGTGTTCGCTTGCTTGTTCGCTAGCTGAGTTCATTAGCAGTACCATGCGTCCGCTTGTAAAATGAGCTTAACAGCTCCATTTAAAAAAACCTTCAAAGTCCTACACATGGTTCGATCAAGCTCCACAAAAAGAGTTGAAATTAGGGCATCTGGGCATACCTGAGGCATTAGCGATCTAAAAGTTCACGCCAACACTATATATTCAAAAGAAATACATCCAACCTATGTATCTACCATGGCCATCATAAAAAGTCAATTCCCCAAGCAGTGATTATCCTACTGTCCAGTCTTCTTCTTTATTTCGGCTATCTTCACCTTTTTTATTTCCTATCTGCACTACTGTTACCCTATCCGGACTTCCCACCCATTTTGTTATCACTACCTTTTTAATCCTTAACTGCATAAAAAGTCAGTTAGTTCAGTTGTCACGATTCCGCTATGTTTTTATCCGATCTTCTTGTCTATTTTGTTATTGATTAAATTTTAATCCCTATTTGTAATCTTGTTAGTTGGCCCCTCGCTCAGAAATAATTCTAGAAATTTTCTCACACATTTATTATATATACACAAATGTACAGCCTAGTTTGGAACTTCATCGGTAGGAAAATTTTTTTTCTCTGAAACCGTCTGTTTTAATTCTGTCTACAGAATAAAACTGTTATACGTTTTAAAAATATTTTTAAAAACAAGCAAACGTTGTAGCACTACAGCTTAACTTACACGATGTAGTTTTCCAGTTGTTTCAAGGAAACTCATTAATTCTGACTCAATATTAGTCTCATCAACAGTGGTCATATTTTCTGTTACATCTGATAATTTCTTTTCTAAGAGAATAACCATTTTACAATTGGAAAACTAAAAAAAATTTTTTTCGATGAAATAAAAGTGAGAAATATTAAAAATTAGTAAGCAAAGGGAAGCAGGTTAAGGGAAGCATATGTACAATAAAATGTAGTACTAAAAGTAACTATTTTTCCTTATTGAAACTATATTTTGAGGATATCCTGTCGGGTGATTTTACTGAACAGAAATATTCGGTGCCTGTTGGTGTACCGGCTGATGGTAAATCGGTTAACAAGAAATTCAAACGAAGAAATAAAATAAGTGAAATCCAACCCTGTCGTTGGCACGTTGGTAGAATGCTTGCCAGCCACACAAGAGGTTCGGGGTTCAATCCCCAGCCGACGCACTCCCAAACCTGGCTGTACCAGTAATAAAACTGGTAAAGAGGGAAGGCTTGGCATGAGGCAAGCAACCGTATCCCCTAAAAGTGAATACCACTGCTATCGAAACTCCAAGCCTCTAACTTGAAGCCCTATGTTACACTGGGAACGTAAAGGAATAAAATAATATTAATAAATAACCCCTGTCGCAAAAGAGGTATCTCTGATGGTCTAGTAATACCGTGAATAGCTCTTTGGCATTTTCAGTCTCATCCAGTCGAGGAGTCCTAAATTGGACGACATGCTCATCAAGCATTCCACTGTTATCCGCCAGAAAATAAACAACGTAAAAGTTAAATAAGTTATGAAGCTGCTTTAAGTAAATCTGCCTAATTCAAACTTAGAATTCTACACATAGACAGTATAATTATTTCTTTTAAAGCGAACATCGATTTATGAAATAATAGATATTTGTAGCTCAGGTGAGTGATTTTGATTTGGTTGTGTCCTCTGAGTTGATTGATTTAACTGTGAAGCCTTGTCGTCCTTCTAGAAAACATCTTCAGCACAGGTTTCAGTATAAAATGAACTTATTTAAATTCCCCATGAATGATGTATTTGCATCTCGTGGCAACCACTGTCGTAACTAGTTGTCAATTTACGTCTCTATTGCTCATTTTCATTGACTTGGAATTGGAACTTTCTTGTCATGTGATTTATTTTTTATGAGTTGGTAAATATGATCTGTAGCAATGTGTTTGTTAATTGCTGATTCATTTAAGTACCAGGCTCCCAGAAATTCCCTAGGATTTTCAGTGTTTCCTCCGTATAAAATTTCTACATTCTCTCAGTCAAATTGGTGTCCGTAATTATCTACATGCACCGATATGAAAGTACATATATCATAACTTTTCACAGATAATTTATGTCCTTGCATTCTGACTGGAAGTCGATAACCACTTTGACCGATGTAGTGTTTGTTGCAGTTCATCCAATTTATTTTGTGAGCGGTATCGATCTTATCTCCTTTTTCTGTTGGATCCTTTGTTCTTCACAATGTTGGATGAAGTGAATGTGTTGGCTTTTGTGTGGCGTCTCTTTCAAATAGTTGTAGTATTCTGGCCATTATTTCTGAGATATTCTTCATATATGGTAGGATGAATTTTCTTGTGGTTCTTGCAGATGGCTTTTTCGCTGGTATTTCGATCTCAATTTAAATGCTTTCTGATGAAATTGTGAGGATATCCATTCTTTTTGAAGACGGTTAGTAGGTGGTATGTCTGCTCTATTCACTTCAACACTGGACTAGTGCTACAGTGTGTCTGAACTCTTTTAAACAATATCTGCACACAGCTCCTTTTGTGAGTGATTGGGTTATTACCACTATAACTAAGTATTTGGTCTGTGTGTGTTGACTTTCTGCATATTTGTGTTTCTTAATTTCCTGTGTTAGTTCTCTTGATGAATACATCTATGGATGGAATTTCGTTATCTGATTCTTCTTCGTCTGTCGTGGTGAATTTAATGTCTTTAAATTTGTTGTTGATTAATTTGTGGGTGTATTCCAAATCATTTCTTTTTAATTATTATGAGTTTATCATCAACATAACGCACCCAGATTTAATCATTTCGACCTCGTCTGTTTTGGTAATACCTAGCAACGGAACCTGGAATACTTTTCATTCCTTATGGTACTTATCTCAGTTGTACATATTTGTGGTTCAACCCTAAATTAAACAGTCTCCAATATTGTGATCCATAAACCACTTAGAAAATTTCAGAACTATCAAGATATAACAGATGCATCAATAATGAATAACTGATTCAATCGAATCTCAGTTCGATGTAATGCTGCCTGAAGTTTATGGTCTGCAGACCATCATGAAAAGTCTTAGAATAAATTTGTATATACATCCTTTTATTTTAATTGATATGGAACGATATCATCTGAGAATTCGAAGATACCGTCTATATATTTTCGTATACTCATATATTATTATTATATTGGTTCCCTTAGATTGCAGGTAGAACATGGGGCTTCAACAGCACATCTCTGTTTCAACCTGTTCTCTACAGTCTTCTCTAGCTGAACCAATGATTGCTCATAGTCTCTCATCTCCTCCTCAAAGGGTCTCCTCTAAGTCATCCTCCAGACTAACGTTCCACTAGATTTCATTCGGTGCCCTCCTCGGCGTGTGTCCAATTCATTTCCATTTTCTTTTTCTTATTCGTTGAGCAATAGGTTCTTGATTGGTTCGATTCCAGAGTTTACTGTTGCTTATTCTTTCTGGCCATCTGATTTTCAGTATCAGTTGTAAGTAACTGCCGATAAATTTTGTAGTAGGCTGCTTGAAACGCTTTACGTGACTCACCAAGTTTCTCACCCAAATACAAGAATTGACTAAAGACTGGTGCTGAAAATCTGAGTCTTGTTTTTTATACTGAGCGCAGCAGACTTTCGAACTGATTTCAGAGTGATGAAGACTTACCTTGCCTTTAGGATTCTCGCGGACTTTGAAATCCCCATCCATTCCGCCTGTATTTGAAACGGTGCTGCCTATTTAAGTGACAGCAGTGAGCTCTTTCAAATTTATTCCGTTGATAGTATTGAGTTTTATTGTTGTTAGTTGATTGGTTGGTTGATTATCTACATCCCCTTCGTGCTTCCTATGCTTATTTGAAGTCCTGTCTTCGCTGTCTGCTTCTTCTGCTTAATTGTTGATTTTTGCAATTGTCTTCGAATTTGTGTTACAATAAACACAAATCATCCTAGAGCACAATTCTTCAACAGTCTTTCTTTTGGCTCAACGTATTTCTGTCTTCCCTGTCCCGACAGTTTGCAGTATAATCCACCACCATTAGGAATATGATTGGTGATAGTAGGCAGTCTTGTCCTTCTCCTGTATTCACTTCAAAGGGACTGCTGAGTTCTCCTTCGAAGATCAACTGATACTCGACATCATCATTTGGTTTTTGACTGAGGTTAATAAAGTTTTGGGACACTCCATATTGTTGAGGGAGTTTCTGAATTACTTCTCAGTCAACACTGTCAAAGGTCTTTTCAAAGTCGATGAAATTAAGGTAGAGGTTTGACTACCATTCTATGCTCACTTCAATGATGATGATACGTACAGTTGCGATTTGATCCACACATGATTTGCTTATTTCGAACCTAACTTGTTTCAGATGGAGTTTTGCATCAAGAGGATCTTTAATTCTTTCCAGGATGACGCAACTAAGTATTTTATTTAGACTGGGCAAGAGCATGATTCCGCGTCAGTTCTTTCAGAGGCCCAAGTTCATATACTTTAGCGACTTAGATTTCATATAATTCATTATATATCAAGGAAAACAAATGAAGTGTTTTCTTGACAATGAAAAAGGGTTAAACTAATTTTATGAAAACCTGTAACATCAAGTCAGGCAGATGCAATTCATGTAATGGTTTAGGGGGAAATGCAAAGTCAACAATATGTGGGAAGAGTTTATTTTTACTTTTATCACATACACTTACGGATTAGTGTCAGTTCCATTCAAAGTATAACTTGTCTAAAGTCATATATTGTAAGTACATTTAAGATTCTTTTGAAGATAGTAAACAGTAGTTCCGTTAAAATATTTTTAATTGCTACTGGATAGGGTTTACCTGTACAAGAACTAAACACTTTTAGCTTATGAAACATTGAGATGTTTCGAGGTGCCAGTTTGTCCTACAAGTAATTACCTAATGAACTAAGCCCATTTTTATTCACATCCTCTAAGCGATATCTGTAATCATCTTCTATATCTAGAAACAAAATATCCGACCCTCATACATGTAGGGTTATTTTGTTATGAACGATTTCATTACCTGAATATTTTACTTGGGCATTGAGTGAAGCATTTTCCAACGATAGAGGCAGCAGACAATTTCTCCATGTGATAAGTGAGTTTTGAAGTGTGCAAAAGTTGCGTTTATGTCCCCCTACATCACGCATCATAACTACAACACACTATTACTGGCAGCAGCATATAATGTCCCAGATTTCTGAACAGACTGTATATCCAATTAGCAGATTTCAACTAAAATATTTCAAACCAAGCAATCGCATTAGTTGCCATCTGATATGTAGGCAGGTAAACAACGCATTATCCTTTTATAGTTACCTTTGTTTACTCCTATGTCATTGGTCATGTATTCATACATATCATTGTTTTCTTTTTTAAACATACTTATACGGATACTGATAAATATGCTTTTTCGTCTCAGATGGTTATGTGCTCTGGCTTAAGTAACGGACAATGGGAGATCAAGTAGCTGTTGCATATGATAAAGGGAGTAGCCTAGCGATTGCGCGATCCCTGCGTCCATGTCCAACTCAGTGTTCCTATTTAAATCTCAAAGCTGTTGCGAAAACTTAAAATGGCGACATCATAGCACCATAGAATGACTAATCCACATTGAAGAGTTTGCTTATAAGCGTATTGGGCATACACAACAACACATTTAAGAGAAACCGTAACTTGATACTTTACAGATCTATTCTATACACACACATATTTTTATTGAGATAACGAATAAAGTTGATTGGTAACAGGATTTCATCGTGAGCTAACATCGGTTAGAGAAACACCGGAAAACCTGGGGGCATTGGACAGTTTTTTCGTCCTATTTTGGGACTCTACCGCCGGGGTTCGAACCTTCTGGTTACAAGGCGAGCTCGTAGACCACTTAGCCACTGGGACCCGATCAAATGGCCCATGGATTCCAACTTCTGCCAATTCACGACATAGGGCAACCACTAGCCAATATCTTCGGCGAGTATTTGTCCTCAGGCCCGACCTTCTGTACCCTACTGGTCACGACTTCCCACTAGGAAAATCAATACAAAAGGGCTTAAACATGTAGCTAAATACTTCAACTTCCCCTCTGTTTTCGTATGTATATTTATATATGTATACTGGCTTACCTTTAAAGAATCGTTGAATGCTTCAATTTCTTTAGCTTGCTTTAAACTGTTTGGTATACCACTGATAATATAATCTTTAGAACCACTATCTTTAGAAAAGTTTTCTTTAATATGCTGAAGTAATTTCTTCAAGAGATTGTCATTATTTTCAGCCTTATCCATAGCACTGTCCATTGAAATATGAATAGAATCAAATTGTTTTACTAAACGGTTACAATATTCTTTTCGAATATTTTCAGAGCATCCTAACAAAAATAAGGTAAATGAATAAAATAGATATTGTGAAATTTAAAACAACATTTAAATAATTACGATTATTTGTAAGAAATAAAAATAATGTCAAACAATGAATTTATGACGTGTTAAAAAATGCATCCCACAGTTTACTAGTATACAGCTAACAGATGGATAATTCAGCAGTTCGGATTATAGGATGTGTGGGGATTTTGGATTAATTTCAATTGTTGGATTCCCGTCACAAACCAACATCAGTTAGAATGATCGTTGGAAACCAGGGAGCATTGAACATCTCTTTCACTCTGTTGTGGAACTCCGCGTCAGTGGGAGCCCACGACTCCACTAGGGATCAAACCCGGTATGGTGAGAGCCGTCTGCTAGACAAAATTGGTAGACAGCAATTTACGTCAATGTTCACGTCTCAAATCTTGGTCATAAGAAAAACAAGGACAAAGACTTTGTGTGGGCGGATGCGAATCGCAAATATTTGGTTTGACCTTCAGGGAAACGGTCACAGAGAGATGACAGATTAACTTTCAGGGAAAAAAACAACCAATCAGAAGACTCTGTTTCTTGCCACAATACAATAATAATGTACATAAAAATCTATAAATATCTGTTGATTTTTTAAATAAATGATCTGTTACCTGGCCCTTGTCTTCTGTCGTTACACTGGGACCTTCAGGTTATGAGACCATTCAATCATTTCGGTTGGAATTCTATGGCTGGTGAATCCTGACTTTGTCAATTTATGCTATAATGCTGCCTTATATAATGTGAGTACAAATCGCCATCTCAGTGAAGGCTGGTGGATAGATTTCCTAAAGTTGAGGTGGGGACCCATGACTTGTATGGCCCACCATGTCAAGGTGAAGTGGATGTTCACCCAAGGCATTTGTAAGGTCAGCTCTATGTCAAGAATTGAAAAGTTATAATTCAGTGATCATTGAATCCCACTCCATGTGGCTAAATGTTCAACAAGCTTGGTCTCGTAATCTAAAAGTTGTTGGTTTCGACCCTTGTCAGGACCTTGGCTGTTCACTGCGGAGGAGTTTTAAACCAGTAGGAAACAGGTGTTAAATGCTTCCTGGCTTTCAATAATCTCTGTGATTAATTTTCATTTGTGACAGAAATCTTACAGTTGAAATTTAACCATTAGATGCTCATAAAAATCTCTCAGAAGCTCAGGTTTTCATTGATAAGCTCATTCCTCATTCCATGAAAGATAAGTTCCGTTTGAGTGCGTCATTGATTCAGTGGAAGAAGGCTCATGAGTCACATGGGAGGCTTGGGTTTTTTTCCTGGCTGAAGCACTCCTAAACCTCGCCTAGGCAGTAGTAAGCCGGAAAAGAGGGAAGGCTGTATATATGAGGTGCTCCGTAAAAATAACAACACCGTTACTGAAAATTCAAAAGCTTGAAACCCTATATTCTACCAGATTTGTAACGAATGAAAAAGAAGTTCATCATACTGAATGCCAACCCGTCATCTTAACAGCAGAGCTACAAGATTTATTTGCAGTCATCACTGATAATGAATACCAAACTGTCATGTGAATGAATGTTACATAACTATCCATTTACAATCAAACTGTCTCTACAGCTAGTTATTTTCTTATCAGCTTTATTCATATTCAGTTAGAAGGAAAAGTACAGGTGGTTAAGTGATGGTGGAACTATCTGAGAAAGACTAAAATTAGTAGATTACTACTACTGGTATAATGGAGGTGAATTGAAAATCCGTGTGACAGTAGATTTCAAATTCTTCATCGTTTTTGATGGATCTCAATGGCAAAGTGTATCTTTTACACTTAAACATTCAGTCGATGATTATTATCATAATTGATATGAAAGTTACAGTAGTGGGATTTTGTTTTTAAAAGACGTTAATAGTGCTATTAAAGGCAGTAGTGATGCTAGATCTATATATAATTTTGAAACAACCTGAAGAAAAACTACTGTTAAATCACACGTATATAGTTGAAGCGTTTTAGTTGCAGCACTCACAGATATGAAATTTCCATAGAAATCCGGTTAAATAACACTACAAAGAAGACCATACCTTATGCCAGAATATATATATATATACATTTTACAAAGTGTACATTTATTGCTCAGTAGTAACTGGCCAATGCCATGCATCTAGTCCTTAATGCTGATGTTGACTGCCCACTATCAGTCAAGTTGGCAATGTGATCACTAAGCTGAGTGTCCTTTAATCGCATTGCATTCTGAATTGCCTGAAGATGATTAGAAGTAATCAGCAGGACATATCTACAACCTCGGAAGAACTGATGTCATCTCAGAGATTTGAACTGGTGTAACCCTGAGTGTTCGATTACGCATATTAATTTTGTATTGAATTTCATATAAATTTAAACTGAGACAAAGAAACTCACACACATATCTGAATAACTTTCTAGGAAAATGTGATTTAAACGACTTGCATGAAAAAAGAAATCCTTCTACTGCTGAAACACAATAATCGCTAATTAATTAATGAGGACATACAACTATGAAACGTCATTGAGAAAACAGTAGGAAGCATGCGAGTTCGAATTTCAGAGAAGACATCATTCCCTTCCAGGTTGCATTTACGCTTTGCTGAGCACTGGTAACACGCACGAAACCTAGGTCCAGAGCTTCTAGACAACTGCCTTCAACCAACCTACACGTATACTGTATGTACAATAAAAATGGTTTAAAGTCTTGAAACTTTCCGAATGACCTACTGACTTCGAAATTCTATTCTTGCCTGATTTTTGAAGGATACAAAGTAAATTTGAGTACTGAAAGAATAAGCAACATCAAAACTGTGCACCGGAGGAGTAGCATTTGTTTTGTAACGTTGAAATAGACACACTTTAAGAGAAGTAGCTTGAAATGACATTTTGGATGCAATGGTGACTTATTAGCTTAACTATTCACTTTTCAAATAAAGGGTCCAAAAGTCAAAATCCTTTCCTTTCTTCTTATTTTGATTAACGAGGTATTTTAAACTATTCAGGTATTAGATGTATCTTGTGGCCTAATGCAAATTTAAAAATGTTTATATCACGTGGTTATGTTATGCGAACCGCTTCTTCCCATAATATACTGTTATATATATATATATATATATATATATATATATCCATATTAGTTTGTTTATTAGATGTATCACACAGTAAAAAAGTATTATTTACTGGATGACGTTTCGAACACAATTTACTGTTCATAATCATAATCGATTATAATCACACAACTCCTTTATTCTTTGCTCTTCTTTCTAGGGGTAGTAGAATTCTTCAGATGTCTGGGACAGGTGTGTAATTATTCCTATTACACGTGTAGTAGTAATTCCATACAAGGAAGAAACCTTGGAAACCTTAAGCAGAATTCTTAACAATGCAGGGATAAAAGCGGCTGACATTCAAGCCCAAAAGCTCAATTAGAAGCAAGTTTTGTCGGTTAAAGGATCCTGTCGAGCCTTCAAAAAAACAATTTAGTTTATCTTATACTCTGCAATGATTCTCAGGTCAAATATATAGGTCAAACTAGTAGAACAGGGGCAGTCAGACTAGCTGAACATAAAAACTTAGCAAAATCTAGATTGGTCGACCCGAATAAAATAAGAAATCTAGAGAATAGTCCAGCTATAGCACTATATGCAATCACACACAACCATGCAATAGGATGGGATAGGATGATAGTTTTAAAATCCAATATCACAGGGTGGAGGGGGAGATTGATAACAGAAGCTTAGTTTATCGAATCAATTTGTAATAGGAATGATTCAACACCTGTCCCAGATATCTGGTAAATTCTGCAACCCCATTTGACAAACAGGAGAGAACAAAGAAAAACCATAAAAATCAAGTTTCGAAGTTGTGCGATTATAACTGATGAAATCACTATGGACAATAAATTGTGTTCGAGAAGTCATCCAGTAAATGATGTTGTCTCGCTGTGTGTGTGATATATCTAAAAAACAAATTATTATGGAATTACATGCTACCACAGTAGCCAAGTTTTATATACATATATGGTCTAGAAGACAACTAAGTACTCTTGAAAACCTTCATAAATGCATAAATCTTACCCAGAATGAAGATAAATTTGCATTTGTTTAAAATATCGTTCCATGATTCAGCATCATCTGTATCTATATAAGAGAATATTTAATTAATAAATAGACATTAGAGGTGGAAGTGTGAAACAGTAGATTTGATTCATTGTTGGTTCACTGTTGCTCATTTATAAATATAAAGGTATACGTTTGAACACAGGCTGACATCGCTTGGAGGACCACTGGAAATCAGGGAGCACTGGACAGCTGTTTCATTCTAGCCTTGGGCACCTCGGCAGTACGCATCCACTGAGGGTTCTAGCGCAGGAACTTTCAGCTACAAAGTAAGCTCATCGACCACTTAGCCACAGGGGACCTATCCAATGACCCAAGAATTCCAAATTCTGCTAACTTGCGATGTATAGCGCAACCATCACCTAATATTATGGGTGAGTAACTGTGCTCTCTCACTCTCTCATTTATGACACAGAGCCAATGTACTAACTTTCCACTCGACAACAGATGAATAATACTGGATCAATATGTGTATATTATCAAATAAAATTATTCTATTGTTAAATTATACTTTACTCCCATGAGACCCAATTCTATTCTTAAATCTACTGAATAACATTCAAGCATAACAGTGAAATATGACGATTTGGGATGTAATTAAGTTTTGTGAATACTGGTGATGACTAGGAAAATAAAGGAATAACATGAATGTATTTTCTTCCTATTCATTTCTCCAATCAACAATAAAACTGATGAACAACCAGTTGGTGTTTTTTGTCTCCTGATGGTATAAAACAGAATTTCGGATTAGTTATTGAATGCTTACACTCCTGCCTTGTAAAAAGATCATCCCACAATGGATTGCTTGTGGGATTATGAGTGCATACTATTGAAGAGTCCCAAATGACTATCCAGTGTTTGTTCCCTAGTCTTATCTAATTAATGTCGATTTATCACAATATACATCCAGGTGGGCGCGTACTACTGAAGAGTCCCAAACTAGGACGAAACAGCTGTCCAGTACTCTCAGGTTTTCCAATGGTTCTCTAACCGATGTCCTTTCATGATGAAATCCTCCAACCAATCAAGCAAAATCCCTACAAAACCAATAATTGAAAACAATTTAAATTAGTTTTTTTTTGAAATTTATAAATTTCTACTATTACTCCTAAAACATGAAGAAAAATCACA